CCCCTCTCTCTCACACACGCAAACGCGCACACCCCCCTCTCTCACACACGCAAACGCACACGTCCCCTCTCTCTCACACACGCAAACGCGCACACCCCCCTCTCTCTTACACACACGCAAACACGCACGCCCCTCTCTCTCACACACACGCAAATGCGCATGCCCCCTCTCTCACATGCAAACGCCCTCCCTCTCACAAACATGCAAACGCGCACGCCCTCTCTCTCACACACGCAAACACCCTCCCTCTCTCACACACACACACAAACGCACACGCCCTCCCTCTCTCTCATACATGCAAACACACACGCCCTCCCTCTCTCTCATACATGCAAACACGCACGCCCTCCCTCCCTCACACACACGCAAACGTGCACGCTTTCCCACTCTCACACACATGCAAACGCGCACGCTCTCCGTCTCTCACACACGCAAACGCATACGCCCTCCCTCTCTCACACACATGCAAACATGTGCACCCCCTCCCTCTCTCTCACGCAAACGCTCGCACTTCCTCCCTCTCTCTCACAGATACATACAAATCTATGGGTTGAATTTGTATTTGCAGATTTCTATTTGCAGACACATGCTGTATTTTGTTCAAAAAGCACACAATTTGTGGACACAGTCAGTAAATGGGGCATTTTCTAAATTCATGCTTTGGAAACAAAACCAGTCTGACTCCATGTTAAAACACAGACAGTTTGCAAGGCCTCACACCAAAAGGCATTGTCCGACCTGAGATGTCACCCCTTGTATTCATTGATAAAACCTTTAGTTATTTCAGGACATTGACTTGAAAGAAATTCGGAGAGTTGCATATTAATCAATCAAAATCTGCATCTCCTTTCTAACTGATTAGGGATTTAACAGGAGGGAATCAGCCAGCCATTTTAGGGTTATTAAAAACGTTCATATTATTTGTATAATGCTTTGATCTTTTACTTATAAATTCTGTGTCTCGATACTTCCTCTCTCATTACTCCTGAGGAAGGGGCAATGCTCCGAAAGCCTGTGTGTTCAAATAAACCTTTTGGACTTTAACCTGGTGTCATGTGATTTTTGACCTTGTCCAACCCAGTCCAACACTGGCACCTCCAAATAATGCCTTGACAATCTCCAGAGTTGTCTCCTTCAGGACTCTGGGGTGTTGTCCATCTGATTTCTCTACCTTCAGACCTTTCACCTTTCCCAGCACCTTCTTAATGATGGTCACTACATTCACCTCTGCCCTCTAACTATTTTAAAGTTCTGATATGCTGCTCATGTCTTCGACTGTGAAAATTGATGCAAAGTACCTCATCACTTCCTCCACTATTTCTTTGTTTCCCCAATACTACTTCTCCAGCCTCATTTTCCATCAGTCCAATGTCTACTTGTTTCCCTCTTACTTTTGCAATTTTGTTTTATATTACTAACTAGCTTACTCTCATATTTCATCTTCCCCCTTATTGCTTTTGTCCTCTGCTGGCTTTTAAGGCTTCCCACTGATCTTCACCACATTGTAAGCTTTTGTTTTTGCTTTTATGCTGCCACTGACTTCCCTTATCACCTGTGGTTGTCTTGTCCTCTCCTTAGTATGTTTCTTCTTCCTTGGGATGAATTTCTGCTGTGCCTCCCGAACTAACCCCAGAAACTTCTGCCATTGCAGCTCCACCATCTTTCCTGCTAGGCTCCTTATCCAATCAACTCTTGCCAGTTCCTCTCTCATGTCTTTGCAGTTACCATTACATCTGATTCATTCTTCTTCCCCTCAGACTGCAGGATGAATTGTGTTATACTAATATCACTGCTCCCTAGGGGTTCCTTCACATCAAGCTCCCTAATCCAGTCTGCCTCATTATACATCATCAAATCCAGAAGTCTGGTTCCATTGAGGGCTCTACCACCAGCTGCTCTAAAAAAAATGCCATCTTGTAGACATTCCACAAATTCCTTTTCTTGAGATTCATTACCAACCTGATTTTCCCAATCTACCATTGGTTCCAATAGTTTGCCTACCACTGAGGTTACTTGAATAACGGTATCACATTGGCCACAGGAGAAATGCCAAATGACTGCACGACAGCCAAACAGGAAGTGAAAATTAATGCCAGTGCCCCTGTTATTTACTCCCTTGCCTCACTGAACAGCCTGGAATACACTTCATCCAGCGCTGGAGATTCATATAATTTTAAACCGGCCAAACCACTCAGAACCTCCTCTTTGTCTACGCTAATTTCTTTAATTATATCAGGGTCCTTCTTCCTGATTTCTAGACCCACATCGTCCTTGTCACCAGTGGACACTGATTCATTTAGAATCCAACCTACGATCTCTAGCTCCATGCACTAATTACCAGTGTGATCCTTAATAGGCCCTATCTACACTTTCCCTAGTTCTTATTTTACTCTTAATATACTTTTAAAATAGCTTGCAATTTTCCTTTATTTCACCTGCCATTATCCTTTCATATCACTTTTTTGCTCTCCTTATTTCCTTTCTAAGTTCTCCCTTGCATATTCTATAATCCTCTCGGTCTTCTGCTGTTTCGAATCTTCAGTATCTGCCAATAAGCCTTGTTGGTCTCACCCTTTTATCTTTATTGGAACATGCTGGCCCCGTACTCTTCCTGATTCCTTTCTGAATGTGCCCAACTGTTCTGTCCCAGATTTACATAAAAGTGTAGATTGTCAGTGACCACAGTGTGAACAAGGAGCAATGATGATACAGACTGGAGTGAAGGTGTTATTTACAGGGATGTGTGAGATGGTGATGTGGATGCAATGATCCAGGAAAGTTTATTGCCATTATCTGGGGTGAGCTTTAGTTCTTGGGGCTTCTCATTTCTTGATACCTTAGTTCCACCGACACTAATGATCCGATAAACATTGCGTGTACTGTCGTAGAAGAAAGAGACGGTAACAGCATGCTTGCTAGCTGGAATCCAGTTCCGTTTGGTTGCTGGGTCGATCTGGAAAACATGGGCCCGTGCGCTGAAAATCGGCTGCTCCCTACAACAAGAAACCAAAATTCAAACACCGACCGCAAAACCACCAAATCCAAAAGAAAGTTACTGTCACTGAAATCAACTCATTTCCAAAACTCCTCATGATCAGGCACATCCAGAGAACTCTCACTCTTTTAGACACTACCATTTGGATCCAGATCTCTCTCACACTGACTCTCATTAGGATACAGGAACCTTCTGTAATTAACCACCCATCTCCCACTGAGAGTAGAGATAGTGATTTAAAAATATAACTGGGGATTAATATTTTCCTCTCTGTGAGCTTGTTTTAACTAGTAGCACTTTCAACAGAAAATGCAGGGTTCAAGCTTAAGCAAGACATTAAACTCAGGTTCCTATCCACCCTCTCAGGTGGTTGAGAAATAATTCCACAGGACTATTTTGAAGAGGAACAGACCAGTTTATCTTGGTGTGTTCTGAGAATCTCTCACCAACACTAAAGTCAGATGATGTACAGAGACAACAAGGTGCAGGGCTGGATGAACACAGCAGGCCAAGCAGCATCATAGGAGCA